ATTCTCATTCCATAATTATCAGACTCAAAGCTCTGAGTGAGTTGTCTTGTTTTTTTTTTTATTATTTTTCGTGCTAACACCCTGTCATTGTTCAAAAACGGTCAAAGAAATCACTGTAAAAGAGATACACCTTAACCAGAGACCCGTTCAGTCAGTCACAAAACCACCCTGATGTCATTTTTCCAGATGCTCAGCTAAACTATCTACTGACAACTATCTACTCCAACCTCTGTGCTGTTCCATAAATAATAAATTTCTTGAAGAAAAAGGCAAACAAAAATTTAACCAACATGAAAAAGAGAAAAAGATTCTATCCCTTGCCATGACCTGCTGGGAAACAACTATGCTTTTAAGATGTGTCTGTCCTCTGATTTTCAGACAACAAAGTCTGAAATGAATTGTGTCTCCTCATCAGTGCCTACACTAGTGAATAAAGGGCTTTTGTGCTAGAGATGATAAACCACAAACAAAATTTTCTTCTGGGATGTTGGTGGCAATAAAAATTTTCATTTTGTAAATGTCAGCACACTGAATTCAGGAAATACTTGGAGGAAGATATCTACACAAGATAAAAGCCAAATGGTAATCATATGGCATTTCTCCACCTTGAAAAAAAAGACTAAAGACTTTAAAAAGGAGGAGGGTCTATGTCTTAAAGAAGGGAAGGCAGCGATATCCTCTCCCTCTCCCCACCCATAGTAAAAGTTTGAATGTGAGAGCTTTGGAGTTAAAATCACAGATTCATTCCTATTTCTAATTAACTGTAGCAATGACTCATTTCATTTCCTGGTATTGATATATTGATATTCATTTTACAGTCCTTGCTGTAAATGACCTTGCTGGATGATTGCCTTAAAAAACACAGTGTGTTGGCTGGGCACGGTGTCTCATGCCTGTAATCCCAGAACTTTGGGAGGCCAAGGTGGGCATATCACTTGAGGTCAGAAGTTCGAGACCAGCCTAGCTAACATAGTAAAACCCCGTCTCTACTAAGAATAAAAAAAAAAAATTAGCCAGGCCTGGTGGCAGGCACCTGTAATCCCAGCTACTCGGGAGGCTGAGGCAGGAGAATTGCTTGAACCCTGGAGGCAGAGGTTGCAGTGAGCCGAGATTGCACCACTACACTCCAGCCTGGGTGACAGAGTGGGACATATCTCACACACACACACACACACACACACACAAACACACACACACACCCCCCCCACAGTGTGTTAACTAGGGCATGGTAGTAGAGAAAAACAAATCCTTAAGCAATGTCTATACCTTTGAAATATCAATCAAATTTACTTGAAATAACAAAAACATCCAATTTCTTTTAACAGAAAAACTGGCCACAGCGCATTGGAATTCATGTAAATATGGCAATCTGTTGATTATTTTTTTATGTTCATTTCTTCACCTTACTTTCCCAAGCCCAGCCTTGGAGCAACATTTAACTGTGAGAAACAGTCCAGTGAAATTGTAAAAGAAAAATTAAATTTAAAATTTAAAAAAAAAGAGAGAGAGAAACTGTGAGAAACAAATTACTTCTTCTTTCTGTATACAGCTAGCTCAGGGGAGTCACTTGCTGAAGACTAAAAATAAAGTTTTTAATTAATTTGCTTTGCTGATGACTTTTTATTAAATGTCAGTTATTTTCCTGCCTTCTGTGCCTCTCTCAGAAAAATAAGTGCTGAGAGGAAGGCATTGGAGAAATTAGCTGTGTCCAAACTGGCAATTTTTATAGTTTTTTTTGCCAAAGTTTTGGAGAAATGAAAAGGAATGATCTCGTGGAAAAATAAGTGGTGTTATGCTAATTTTCCTCTTGATACTGGATGATTAGGCTTGTTAAAAAATAATCAATATAGCCTGAAACATGTGACTGATGCCGTGTATTTTGTGCATATTATCCTTCTATCATCAATCCCAGATCATTTCCCTTTTAAGGGTCTGTAGTTCTGGGCTGGACTCATATCCCAAAGTCCAGCAAAATCCTCTCTGTGAATCTCAGTTGTACAATTATCCAAGTCTAGTAGAAAACATGCAAAGGGCTTGTCTCAGTTAAGGTTTCCTCACTCTTCCTAAATCATACTTCTTTAAATTAGCTATAAGTATCTCTCTACACTATCATCCGAATCATAAGGAATCAGGTTAGACTTAACCTTTATAGAATAAAGGTTAAGTCTCTATTTTAAGCTATGCTATGAAAAATAAGTTACATTATTAAATTAATGGAAAAAGAAACCATTCTTTATATACATGCAGGCACACAGGCGCGCAAACTGACACACACCTCAACACAGGCGTAACAGTGGTTTCTCAGACCTAGGCAGGACAATTACACTTTGACCAGAGAATTTCCTTATCTATAATTTCTTAATGGAAGGTAAATACAGAGAAAGGGAAAGTACACAAGAAGCTTTGCACCATTTGATTAGAATGGATCTTTTTTTTTTTTTTTTTGCTCTGATGCCCAGGCTAGAGTGCAGGAGTGCCATCACAGCTCACCGCAAACCTCTGCCTCCCAGGTTCAAGCAATTCTCCTGCCTCAGCCTCCCAAGTAGCTGGGATTACAGCTGTGTGCCACCACATGTAGCTAATTTTTTTGCATTTTTAGTAGATACGGGGTTTCACCATGTTGGCCCGGCTGGTCTCCAACTCCTGACTTCAAGTGATCCACCCGTCTCGCCCTCCCAGAGTGGTGGGATTACAGGTGTGAGCCACCGTGCCTGGCCGGATCATACATTTTTGTGTTATCATTGTTTTCTTGCTCAAAAGTTTTCTTACTGGAAAAGACTGTGTAAAAGTGTCCCCTTCACTCCCATCCCTTTCCTTCTTTATTAGATAGCTACTCAGTATCTAATGCTAAAAGGTACTAGGAAAGTGAATTGGCATTTGAAAAGTAAATCTATCTCAGAGTAGAAAACAAAGACCCTACGTGTGTGAACTCTCCAACCGCTTAGCTAGCTAGCCCCCTTTTAGTAAACTTTCTAAAGAAAACATACAAAGCTTTGAGTCTTACCAAAAACTTTTCAAAAAAGAGTGAAAAAGTGGTTGACAGGTAAGTGTTCACAAAGCACATCAGAAAAGTATTTAGTGTACTAGTACCAGTGTTAAATAGTTTTCAGTCAGGGTAGCCTTCCCTCGACTGTCTAACAAATTAAGAAATTTTAACTATTTACTTTAAAATAAGTTTGAGAGATCCCTTAAAAATAAGGTAAAATAGATATTTACTTTAAAATAAGTTTGAGAGGTCTCTGGGGAATGGAGGCAGCAAACCAACCATGGCACGTGTGTACCTATGCAACAATCCTGCAACATCTGCACATGTACTACAGAACATAAAGCACAATAAAAACTTAAATAATAAAATTTTAAAAATAAGGTTTAGGTCTTTTTAAAATAAACTTTAAACACTCTTGTGAATATATTTGGTAGGTGTAAATGCTTGGTACCAGATAAGAGAATACCTTATCTCATTGCCAATTCATGTCTTTCATTATATTAACCCGTTTTATAAATATACACAATTTGTGCTCACTGGTACAGCAGGCCATAAAATAGGTGGGTATATATGTAACTACTGTACCAAGAGATTGGGGAATCATACTCTTTGGGCTACATACACTTAATGTTTAAGAATAACACCAAATAATGCAGTACAGGAACTGCCAAAATAAATAAGAAAGAAAACTGAAAACACTGGCTTTTCAATGTATTTTTCAGGGAAAAATAATTGTCCTTATTTAAGCATGACTGTTGACCCCTATCAGTCCAGTTTTGGAGCCAAGCGGGGACCTTTTTCTAACTCTGAGAACAAGTTGAAAGAACATCTTACTCCAGCCCACCAAAGTTACAAGCTGTTTCTGTTAGGAATGCGATTGTGATTTTCTGAAGTTAATTTAACCATGGATTTACCTGGGTCCATGAAATTACAAATCACAGCATGTTAGATGGAACAGACAGCATAATAATCAACAACCCCGGCTCTGGAGTCAGACTAAGGTAATTCAGACCCTGTCTCCAAGAGGTGCCACCTGTACATCCCTGTGCAAATTCCCTTAACGTGCCCACCCCTCAGTCTCTTCACCTGAAATGAAGTTAACTGTAATATCTGCCTCCTAGTTATGAGAACTGTGTGCTGCTCAAAGTGCAAGATACATCCTCCTCATCATCTTCATTGGGAACTTAAAGAATTTTAATCTAAGAAAATAGATTTTGGCCAATTATAAAAGAAAACTAATTTATTAATATTGGTATTGTAGCAGCTTCTGTGGTGACTCCAGGATTCACTTTGGAACTCATTCAGTTAAGGTAGATAGAGCAATTACAATTCACATTTATCTTGAGAGCCAAGAACTGACTGAGCTAATCCATTCACATGGATTATTTCATTTTATCCTCACAATGACTTTGAGGTGAGGTTTATTATCATTCCCACTTTACAGATAAGGAAACTGAGGTTTAGAGAGTTTAAATTGCAGCCTAAGTTTAGCTAGTGAGAATTGAACCTGTGGTAGGAACACAGGCAGCCTAAATCCAGAACTTCCAGAACCAATCTACTTAACGGCAGCTCTCTTAAATTAAAAAGAAGAAGAAGAAAAAGAAAGAAACTATATATAAGTTAAAAATTCTTGGCTGGGTGTGGTGGCTCATGACTGTAATCCCAGCGCTTTGGGAGGCAGAGACAGATGGATTGCTTGAGCTCAGGAGTTCAAGACCAGCTTGGGCAACATAGTGAAACCCCGTCTCAATGTAAATAATAATAATAATAATAATAAATTCTTGGGACACTATCAACTAATAGCTAGAAAAACATCATTTATTTCCAAGGGACTTTTGTTAAGAGACTATAATGTAGTCTAAGAATGAGTGAGTTTCAGAATAACACATTGCCATATTACAGCAAAACAATTCAAATGTTCAAATTTCATACATTATTAGAAGTTTAAAATAAACTAAGCCAACTGCAAGACCTCAAAAAAAATTTAGAGAAGAAAGAAATTAAAATTGTTTACCTGTTGCTTGAATTGAGGGGAATAAGTTGAGAACCAAGAGCAGCCTGAGCATCTTTGTCCTGACGATGGGCTAGGGTTCCAGCCCCTCCTCCTTGAGGAACCTGCAGTGTGAGGGGAACTGAAAGACACACCTGCCAAGGCCTGACAGTCTCCGTCATCCACGGCCACCACCACTGCCACCATCCCCTTAGGGCACATGATCAGTGGACTCAAACCACAAGGCATCCTGACTGCAGCATTTCACACAGGATATAACGTTGTTTTGATGACTTTAGACTTTTACTTCTGTTTATAAAGACCTTTTTATTCTGTCACTGAAAAATAGTGGGTCACTACATGATGGGCTCATGGGAATTATTCTTTATTAATGGATATCAGAGTTGTGGAAAAGGGGTGCTTGAAATCCAGGAGAGATTAAAGGGGAGACAAAGCATTCTTAAGATAGAATAGGCTGGGAGCAGTGGCTCACACCTGTAATCCCAGCAATTGGGAGGCCAAAGCTGGTGGATCACTTGAGGCCAGGAGCTTGACACCAACCTGGCCAACCTGGTAAAACCCCATCTCCACTAAAAATACAAAAAATTAGCCAGGCATGGTGGCGGGTGCCTGTAATCCCAGCTACTAGGGAGGCTGAGGCAGGAGAATCACTAGAACACAGGACATGGAGGTTGCCATGATCCGAGATCATGCCACTGCACTCCAGCCAGGGTGACAGAAAGAAATCCACCTCAAACCACAAAAAAAAAAAAAAAAAAAAAAAAAGAATAAATGAAGTCTCTCACAGAGGAGAGATTTTCATAGGATGGGCACAGGTTGTATAGAAAAGACAATGGTAAGAAGTCTATTGAGGAATTGGGAAATGTCTGGATAAATGTTTAAAGAAGTTGTAAATATTAGGAATGTAACATTTGTGTGGGACATAAGGTAGCCCTCTGGAGCTTTTGGCAGACAGTGCTTGATTTATGTCAAGCTTCCTCCAAATCACTTCTAGGAACTTTGCAAAATCCATCCTACTTGCAAGCAACCAGCCAGCTGAGTATCTGGAGGAGGTTCCCTAAGCTAAGGGAAAGTCAAAACAACACTGCATGTTCTTAGCAGGACGGTAAGGCAACCAAAAGCCCCTTGGCAGCTCACGCTCTCTATGTCCCTCAAGGTTAAGTAATAGGGCACAAAAGGAGGTGGCTCCGTGGCAGGATTTCTGAGACTCATAACCACTCCTCTGCACTCTGCTTCAACTCCCAGGCCCTTTGCAGAGAAAGTTATTCCACCAGCATGACCAACTGCTCTCGTCTTCTGGTACTCAATGACTTCCTCAGATATTTTCCAGTAATTTTTTTCTTCTTTCTTGATAATCTAAGCTTTGCGTAACTATTCTAGCTGGGGGTTTTGTGTATGTGGGTTTTTTTTTTTTTTTTTTTTTTTTTTTTTTTTTTTTTTTTTTTTTTTTTTTTTTAAGATAACTTGTGGCTGGGCGTGGTGGCTCACGCCTGTAATCCCAGCACTTTGGGAGGCCAAGGTAGGTGTATCATGAGGTCAAGAGATTGAGACCATCCTGGCCAACATGCTGAAACCCTGTCTCTACTAAAAATACAAAAATTAGCTGGGCATGGTGGCACATGCCTCTGGTCCCAGCTACTCGAGAGGCTGAGGCAGAAGAATCACTTGAACCCAGGAGGCAGAGGTTGCAGTGAGCCGAGATTGGCCACTGCACTCTAGCCTGGCAACAGAGCAAGACTCCATCTCAAAAAAAAAGAAAAGATAACTTGTATTGCTTTTTATTCTGACTATAAAATTAAGACATATTTCATAGAGAATGTTTAGAAAAATTATAAACATTAAAACAAGATTCATCCATAATCTTACCACCCTAATATAAACACTGCTAATATTCTAGTCCACTGCCTTGCATCTGTTTGTCTATTAAGATTTTTACATATTTAATATCGTGTTTTACTTATAATTGTCAACAGATATGTACTATTATCTGTTATATCTTTAACATTTTCCCATGTCATTTAAGTATTCTTTATAAACATCATTTGTAATTGATGCATAATATTCCATTCTATAATTATATCACAAATTCTTTAACAAACCCCTGGTGTTGTTACCTTTTTTTCTTTGCTATTTTAAAGCGCTTTAGTCAAACTCTCTGATGACCTAGTTGTATGAGGAGGCAGGCTTCATGTCCCTCTCTCCTGATCTGATAAATGACAGATCAAAACTATTTCCTCTCCTGGTAGACCTTCTTTGTTCACAGCTCAACTTTCTCATAGACACAGTCTTTGTGAACCTCCCTAACACATCTTTCTGCCCTTTGGAGAAATTTGTCCTTAGAATGATTCACTCACACTTCTGAGCTGTATGTAAGTGACAAAACCATGCTCCAAGTCGTGGAGAAGTTTCATTTCTAAAATTCTACTCAACCATCCTGGCTCTGACCCTCCATCCAGTTAGGGGAACCCATGCCTTACCCAGGGCCTGATGTCTCTCTGGGGAAAATTTACAGTTGGCACTGTGACCTTTTCTAAAAGGTCATCCCTATTCCAGAGCCAACAGCCTTCCTAGATCTTAGAACAAGAGGCTCTGAGACTCATTATACAGGCTGAGAATAGATGCAGTAGAAACAAAGGTGCCCAATAGTTTTCTATGATCAACAACAAGAGGCTGAGGAGTAAGCTAATAACTGTCTTCAAGCATATTAAAGATGACTATATAGCATCTAGTTAATATTACACAAATAGTAGTAATCAGGTGAAACTTAGCTGAAAAGAAACAGTTTACTCATTTGGTCTAACTCCCTTATCCTGCAAACAAGGAAGCTGCAGCCCAGAGAGGTCAGTTGACTTAAATGAATTCATGAAACAATAATCAAGTATAATTGGCCTTATTATTTGACCAGCCATATTTGATTTTCATTCCATAGAATAAAAAGAAACACAAGCTTTGACAGTTGCCTTCCTTTGTTTTAACATGTATGACCGTAAAGAGGCAAATCCTTACACATTTGCTTGTGAAATCCAATGGCATTCACACATACCAAGGGTAAGAAATGACAGGGATAAAATAAGAACCTTAAGATCATCAATATACAGGACACTGAGACCCTACTACATTTTTAGTAAAAATAATAGCTAGCATTTCCATACCAAGAACTTTACATTCCAGATCTCATTTAATACACAATCTGTGAGGAAGATTATTATTATTATCCTATTTTACATATGAGAAAACTGATCTGAGAAAGGGTTAAGAATTATCAGAACAAAATAATGTCATTTTTCACAGAATTAGAAAAAGCAATCTTAAAACTCTTATGAAACCAAAAAGAGCCTGAATAGCCAAAGCAATCCTAAGTGAAAAGAACAAAGCTTGAGGCATCACATTACCTAACTTCAAATTAATGATAAGACTATAGTAACCAAAATAGCATGGTACTGGTATAAAAATAAGAAAAAAAAAAATAGATACATAGAACAATGGAACAGAACGAAAACAAAAAGATGATGCCACTTACCTACAACCAACTGATCTTCAACAAAGTCAACAAAAACATATGCTGGGGAAAGGACTCTCTATTCAATGAATGGTGCTGAGAAAATTGGCTAGCCATAGGCAGAAGAAAGAAACTGGGCACATACCTCCCACCATATATGAAAATTAACTCAATATGCATTAAAGCCCTAAATGTAAGACCTGAAACTATAAAAATCCCAGTTGCCTTTTTTTCAGTTGAACAGCTGACTCTGTCTCCCAGGTGTTCCAGTCGCCAGTGGAAATGACGCCCGGATTTGTGTGAGTTTTTGCATGGAGACCCGCTGCACTGGCTGAAACAGCTGTGCTGGAGACTCGTGGTGCATTTCCGGAAAAAAAGGCGGCTGAAACAGGGAGCCAGGTGATCTGGCTTGGCTGGTCCCACCCCCACAAAGATCAGCAATCTGAAACACTCTGGATTGAGGGTTTCACAGAAAGCATAGCTAGACCCAGGACAGTCCAGGTCTGTCAGGGGGAAGGGCAACACTGCCACTACCGAGGCAGCCTGCCATTACTGAGGCAGTCCACCATTACTGAGGCAGTCAGCCATTATTGAGGCAGTCTGCCATTACCGAGGCAGTCTGCCATTACAGAGACAGTCTGCCATTACAGAGGCAGATCACCATTACCGAGGCAGTTCTAACTATACCCCTATGAACAAAACTGCAAGGAAGTTCACACAGCAGCTGGGCAGAGCCCATGGCAGCTCAGCAACACCTCTGCTGACAGACTGTGACTAGGCTACCTCCTTGCTGGGCAGGGCATCTCTGAAAAAAGGCAGCAGAATGACAGAAACTTATAAAGCCCCACCTTCCCATGACAGAGCACCTGGGAAAAAAAGGTGGTTATGAGTTCTGCTGTAGCAGACTTAAACGTACCTGCCCAGCAACTCTGAATGGAATGGAGCTCACAGCTCAGCACTTGAGCTCCTATGAGGGACAGCCTGTCTCTGCAAGCAGCTCTCTGACCCCTGTATAACCAAAGAGACACCTCATAAAGGAGAGCTCAGGCTGACATCTGGTGGGTATCCTTCTGGGACAAAGATAACAGAAGAAGAAACTGGTTGCAACCCTTACTGTTCTACAGCTGCTGCAGGTGATCCCCAGGCAAGCAGGGTCTGAAGTGGACCTCCAGCAGTCCTACAGCAGGGGGGCCTGACTGTTAGAAGGAAAACTAAGAAACAGAAAGAAATAACTTCATCAGCAACAAAAAGGATGTCCACTCAGAAACACCATCTGAAAGTCACCAACCACAAAGACCACAGGTATATAAATCCACAAGGATGGGAAGAAACCAGTGCAAACAGGATTAAAATACCCAGAATCAGAATACCTCTCCTTCTCCAAGGAATCACAACTCCTCATCAGCAAGGGAACAAGGCTGGATGGAGAATGAGTCTGATGAATTGACAGAAACAGGCTTCAGAAGGTGGGTAATAACAAATTTCTCTGAGTTAAAAGATCATGTTTTAACCTAATGCAAAGAAACTAAGAACCTTGAAAAAAGGTTTGATGAAATGCTAATGAGCATAAACAGCTTCGAGAGAAATATAAACGAATTGATGGAGCTGAAAAACACAAGAACTTTGTGAAGCATACACAAGTTTCAATAGCCGAATCAACTAAGCAGAATAAAGGATATCACAGATTGAAGATCAACTCAATGAAATAAAATGAGAAGGGAATATTAGAGAAAAAAGAGTAAAAAG